GACAATAAATGTCAAAAAATTTACATCAAATTTTTGCAATGAGTAATTATGCGAGTATACAAAGCATACTAAAGTCTTTCCAATTTTCAGACTCTCAAATACAATATGTTCAATTTGGCAGTGATAAAAAAACTTTCTGACTTTTTACAATAAAAATTCTTATTGCTTTGCAGAGAAAGGATTTAAAAAATTGAAGAAAGATAATTATGTCTGTTATGTCTGCCATATTGTGCATGTCAATGAAATTTTGTTCAATGGTAATGCCTTCTCTGGTAACGTTTTTTTCCCATGATGCACTGTGCAAATGATTTAAAATGTTGCGATGTTGCACATGTTCAAGACACTGAAAATTATATTACATTGTACACAGTGTATTCAGCCATGGTGAACATAATTGTAACACTTCATACAACATTTCATTTCAACAAACCTTATACCAATCATAACTTGACGTAGGGAAACCATGCAGACAAATCACTGTATTGTCACCAACACCAATGGTTTCTGAAGTTAATAACATGCGTTTAGAAAATATTTCTTATTCATAGTTATCAGTAAATGTAGATTTCATATTATTTCAAGGCACTTATATAATTTTCGTTATTACACCAGTAGCCTTCAGCTTCCTGGCAAGCATATTCAGAAATGTTTCTGTTTAGGCACTCAATGGTTGGCATCAAAAAAAATGCAAAAAGACCTGCACTATGGTTATCCAATGATTTACGAGAATTCAATATGTTTAGAAACCCACACCAGATTTCGGGCTGATCTGCACTGGCTCGGAAGATGAATTCTGATTGGCTAAAAAAACAAAAAAACTTGTGGCGTTGAATGCACGTTCATTGTCAGTATTGTTATGCAAATTCAAACTAGCTAATCATTTACAACCTTCCAAGCCAGTGCAGATTAGCCCCCAGATTTCTTTAATAAATAATTGGTTGTAAAAATACATCTGCGTAAACACTGTAAAAGATGTACATGTAGTTACTGCAATACAGGTCTTAGATGAAGAATACAAAAAAAAAAGGAAAAAAAAATACATCAAAGTACCTTTGTAAAAAATCCTGTATTCTTTGTGTGTAAAGTAACGTCCAGATTTTGTCCATTCTTTCATCTCTGTGGAGAGTTTTGGAGCAGGATAATTCAGGAATATTGCAAGAATGACACCCACTAAAGGTAATACCTGCCACTTCTCCATCTTAACAGGGTACAAATATTTCTATGAATAATCGGATGATAAACTCTGTCAAACAGTGTTATGGGGTGCTGTGCTTGCTCTGATGCTCAGCACAGACATTTATTTAAAGTTTATGTAACCGTTTTTTTGCCACCTTGATGAATTGAGAAATAAATTTTGCACATGTCACTGTGATCCCTTGTCGAAAGGAACCGTCATGGTGAATAGTTTACCAATACTAAAATTAAAATGAAATTTTTCCTGATTCACAAAAGTTTGTTTCAGGTCAAAACAATTGCGAGATTCTACTGTCATTTTTTTCACTTGTACATGAATTTTTGTATCAACTTTTTCAACATTTCAGGTGTTACAATCCACATGTGCAGTTGATAGATATTCACATTGTTTCTCTGATTTTAAAATTTCAGTAAGGTTATCTTGAATTAAAACTTTCAAAATTGATAATATAGATAAAAACAGACAAATAGTTTATAAAAACCAAATGTCAGATATTGAAAACAAACAGGTTTCAGTGATATTTAAAAATATTCGCATAGTAACTTAGAGAATTATTTCATGTTAATTACTAAAACAGGTCAAGTATAAGTAAATCAATTTGCCTGTTCCAACATGCCCACAAAGTCCTGTGAATTCATTTGGAACTGTGATAGTTGAACCAGAAACTACGAAGTCCTGACTACGTATTGTCTCTGATTCAATTAAAGAGTTCATAAAAGTGGCACAGAAAGATTTATAGTCAACATGCACATGATGTCCTAGTAAGGATAGACAGTGTGCAGTAAAGCTCAAACCAATGTACTGGCTCATAGAATAGCATTCTTTATAAGGCTTGATAATTTAGGTCATGAATACGCAAAGAGGACACAATACATCTGTATTCATTGTCCAACATCTATTCACAGATTAACTGGTCAGTATACATGTAGAGTTAAACACGCTGACATGAGCTCATTGTTGTCTAATGAGAGTACTCAAGTTGAACAGACAAAACATTAACGTAGAGTTGAAGCTCAAAAATTATACAGTATTTAGTGGACATGCATGCCTACTTATAAGAGTGTATGGTTTTAGCATTGACTATTTAGTGTAAATGACTTTTTGATTCACGCGTGTTCTTGATTGAATGCATGTGTGTGCATACCAATTACATATCAATATTCTAGAAATTCTAGTGACATTATTGTGCTTTGGTTGGTCTTTACCAAGACCTTGTATGTGATCAACACACATTTCCACTGACCGCAATAATGGCTAAATAACAGTGATAAATCTACAATTAATTTATGCATAAACTTAATGTAATGTTGTTGTTTTGTTTTTCTACAAGGTTAGAGCTTGAACTTTGTGGACACATTAGAGACAATTGCCTTGATGTCCGATGAGTTTTTCTTGGTGCCCTTGGAAAAATACAGATTTTCCGTATACTAGAATTTTAGTTGTTTTAAAATTAGCGCAGGACATTTTGTCCAAAATAGCAACTAGTGTTATGGGACACTTCTAATTTTTTGCCATACAAAGGGTGCCCTCTTAACACAAAAGTTCAAGCTCTGTGAGGAGGCAGATATTATTGTACAGTCACCTGAGGCCTAGAAATCTCAGTAACAATATAAATCAGTTTATTTTTCTAGCCCTCAAGTAACTGTGACATAAAATGTCGGGCAATCGTTTGACAAAAAAAAGAGCCCGGACCACAACTGGCTACAAAGAACGTTGCACAACTCGGAAGTTTACCGTACGATTTTTGTGTGTGTGATTTAATACATCCAAAACTTAATTTTTGTTTCTGTTTATGAAGTTAACTATACTGCAGGCATGTTTGAGACATGCTTCCTGTGATAAAACATGTTTGAAATCACCAATGTTCCTCGTTCAACTTGTTCTGACTTGCCTTCCCCACGTTCGTAATTGAAAAAAATAACACCTAAATCGTATCAAAATAATTTCACTACAAAGACTGATTGATCTAACCTTGTGTGCTGAAAAATGAGCAAAAAAGAGTGATAGCAAATCCAAAATCTAAATTAAATCTTGATGAAGTTCAGAAGTGTATGGAAGCTGCCATTTTGTATATCCCAGAATGCAGTGTATTATTTCAAATTCCGCGGCCAAAGCTACTTAAGCTGCTCATGATTATTACACGCGAAACACATTTTCTTGCTTTTGTTGAGCAGTTCAATGCAATTCAAAGTATGAATAGTTTACATCATATTGTATTTATTTTATAAAACTAGGTTTTTGTTTAGTATTTGCTATTTTCGATGTAAACATGGGATTGGGGTATTTATTATCAGTATCTTAGGGATATCTAGATGTCAAAACACAACATGTCTGCCCGAAGCCGAAACAGTAACGTGAGTTGTTTGAAAATTTAGAAACCGTTGGTCTGTGTGACATTCGCGTCTCAGGATAACATTGGACAATTTTCTTTATACATCCTGCTCGTATACTAACCGAATGGCTGCCACACTTGCTTTACAGATTCTCAATAAACGGATACCAGAAAATCCAAAGTATGCTCACATCACGCATACTGTTGACTCGGGTAAGTATTTCTGTGGAAATTTATTTTCCGAAATATCGTAAATAATCTTAGTCGATGTAGATGTAAACAAGGATAATATATAATTGCATAGTGTATTCATATCTTGATTTAACATTACATTTAGTTGCCACACTACTGTTCCACTAGATGACATTTCACTCGAAAGTTTGTCTTGATTTCCAGCCTGACTTTCATTCAAATCGATCCTTCGTTTTCATTCATCGTATAGTATTTCACCCATGGAATTACATTTCAGGCGCCAGTATTTCCAAGTACATGGCCAAGCTGGAAGACGTTCGCCGGAGTAAGTTCAATTCATTTATTTCACTAGCAGTAATGGGTCGTTTTTTAAACCTATTCATTTACCGATGTTTTTAATGTTTACGCTCTTCAAACGTACTGTTGACAAAATAAATTCGTCGCCATGCGCGCAATGACTGTCCCGTGCATCGCTGCAAATCCACCCCATGTGATTGAATTGTTATTCTGCCACCAAAGCACCACATGGGCGAGGCACCCATCGTTGCCGGGAACGTCATGATTCGACCAGTTTTCACCATTTCATTAATATGCAGTAGCTGCCTATTGTGTATGCAGTTGCCATGGTGAAGACCACTATCCTTCGTACTGCTGGATTCTTTTACTATGCATATACGAACAGACGTACTAGAGATTACAGTGGGGTTAATTACACTGTACGGCTGCTCATTTCACGCTGCGCACACTTTCAAGAAAAACAGACTGCCGTTCTCAATAGCTGCCTACTAGACATTCCCCTGCAATATAAGATAAAGACACCTGCGGTGTGGATGGACTTGTATGATGTTTGTTAATAGCTGAGCAGGATTTTCTTGTGGTTTTTGTGGATTTACTACACAAGACTGAATGAAAAGTTTGTAATCAGTGTGAAGAAGAGAACCTATAAACATGCCGCAGTCCAAAATGTTGACTCCTAGACAGTTTCCTCGTCAAAAATTAAATAACCGCAAGATTGTGATCACGGATCCCCGAATTCTTGCTGACAGAGTGCAACATTTGGTCAGGAGTAAGTACGATATTGTGATGGAAACTGTGTACAGTGGGTAGAAGGTTGAATAATGGTCTTTAAATTCTCCTTGTGATGTATACTTTGTTTTGTTTTTTAAGATTACAGATACAGACAGAATGAAATTTTTAAAAGAATGAAAATAACAACTTTTGTACAGTTGGTAAGTAAAATGATCAATTAAATTGAATTATGAATTATTAATTAACTAATTATTCAATCTGTGAAATTATATGCTTCCGCTGAGCAAAAACGTCATTTTTTTTTGTCAAATTTGTTAATGGTCAGTATAGACATTTATATGGCTTATATTGGATCATCCAGTGTCTCATTTGTTGAATATATTTGTTGTTTTATTTTGATTAGCCTGTAGCTCCTAGCATCTGTGATTAGCCAAAAATTCACTTTGGTCTATGTACATAGCATTGACATTGTTACAAGTGCTTCTAAGGACGATAGGCATGTACTTGAGTTCGTAAGATAAGTCACCTAACGCCTTCGGAATTTGTTTTCAATGCAAGCACAATTGTATTCCTGGTACCGAAAAGATATGTGTAAAGCCTTTTATTTAGAAACCCCCAAGTGTAATTTCATGCTATGCCAAAGCAATGTACAGTATTGACTTTACTGTTCACCCTGAATATGACATGTTTTAATCACCAAAGCATCATATATCAAAACCTCTCAGGCATGTGCAGTTATATACATGAACCGTTGCCAACTTTTACTGCTTTTGTGTGAATCTTTCTTTTGACGATGAATAACTAAGGTGCTAATTCTGACAATTCTAATCTAACAATCGCTCGCGGCTACATTTTTGGATAAATTTTATATATTTCTCCATTTCAAAATATGGAGATTGTAGAAACTAATAACGTATACCAGTTGAATTTTTAGAAGGAAGTTTAAGCCATTCACTGAGTGGACCCACTATTGCTTTTTGTTCGGCTTTTTTTCTCCAAACCCAAATATAACTGCATGTCGAATAATTAAGTTACGTTTTAACTTTAATTTCGATTGAAGATTATTTTAATGTAATTTGTTAAAAAAAACAATGTATTTTACATACATGTTGCATTGGTCCCATTATCGGACACCGCGTAGTGTGCCAACTGGTGCTTTATTTTATACACAGAATCGTATAGATGCTAGGCTTTGATGTTACGCTATACATAGAAATAGACATTTTTTTGTTACATGAATATGCCAATATACTTGATGGAAGATTGCTAGCTTTGCCGTGTCCAGTCTTAAGTGTTTAGTCACTTGGCATGCAGAAGCATTTATTATAAAGAACATTATCGCTGCCTTTCAGCCAGCGTGTTATCGTTCCCTCACAAAAACAACCTTGAGATAATAAGCAATCGCTCCAGAACAGTGAGAACACAATGCCCATTTCTCCCGTAAATCGAAATGACTTTCACAAGAGCAATAGAAAAAAGAATGTAGCAAGTTTTTCTAAGGCTAGTAATTTTCTGACAAGATAATCCTTTGTACTGAGTCAATTGGATCCATTGAAATTTTGTCTAATTTTCTACATAATCAACTTAGTGTTAGTTACAGTGTGTTCTTTTTAGACGTACTGACAATTTTAGTTGTAGAAGGCTGATCTCCTTGGTAAACCTACTCACGGTGGTACTTGTACTTGCTCTGTCTTGTTTTTTGGCACGTCCTTGTGTTTAACAATCTGCTAAGTGATTTGGCTGTAGCAGTTTATATTTAACGATATGTAGTCAGAGCTGTGGTTATTTATTGAATGATTTTAATGGTGTGAGTGTATTTTACAGTCAATCAAGCATAATTTTTCTTTGTTTTGGATTTCAAAATATTAAAAAAAATTTAATTTGCTGCCCAGCTAAATTGTAAGGTTACTCTGAAAGATCTATTTCTGAACTGGGCTGGGACAACAAACTAGCACACATGAGAATAATCTATATCTGTGCTTCATTGTGAGTAACTACGAGCAACGACCTTTGACACCGTATTTGAAATAGACACTTACTGTCACATCCTACACAGGTTTTCTGCCATGGCTATTTACTCACGCTACAATAGCGACTCTCTGTTCCCATAGCAACCCAGATAACCATATCCTGTGCTGTTTAGATTTCAATATATATCTTGGCAATCGTGGTGTCTTTTTCTATGCCATAAGCAATAAGTATTCATTTGTCTCTATTTTTACCTATCAGGTCTATCTTGTTTATTTCACTTAATAGGAGGATATCCTTGTTGCGGTTTGATTTATTACAAAGTAGTAATATCTCTGACTTTAATTACGCTGTCTGAGTGTGCATGGGTTTATGAAACAAACTCTATTTTTGTCACATATTTTTTGTATTTTAAGTTTTCAGAAATCAGCCAAATAAAATGTAATATAATTTGACCAAGAATTGAGCATGTTGAGCCGCGGAATAAATTCTTGCCTGTTTGTTGCGAGCTTCATGTTTGTTCTTTGATATCATGATTATAACCCATAGGGCCAATAATAGTCTTTCATATCATAATGTAGAATAGTGAATTTCTGACCCTAGCAACAGTCATTACTATAGTATAATTTTGTATCCAACAAATAAATATGCAGTCTTAGAGTAGAAAAATTTCAATGTAATTCAACACAGAAATAATGTTCTGAATTTAGGTACTACACGTATCAAGTTCTTATTGAAAATGCATTTTGCACTTTTGAAAACTAATAAATTTATCAATTTTCTGTTATTTTTCTACAGTTTTATAAAATAAAAGGCATAATTAGCATCATATAAAAATAGAATGTTTAAAGAGCAATTTTTAGTCTTTTTTTTCTTTGAAATCTTGTGTTTTGATATTAGGATATTCTTTTCCATTCAAAATACAGTTGTCATTTCAGCGGCCTTATACTGAAACCTTAGTTTTCATGTAAACAGACTCGTACACCATTCTACCATTGATGCAGTTCTAATAAAATATGTAGCTTTGATTATCTTGTTTTTTCTATGCCATAATAGCTTACTAACCTAATAATATATAGTTGGACCACCTATTAGATTTCTATGATACGTTAACAATGGGGTATTGTGTATATTTACTCGGAGAAATGATAGAACAGTGAGAAACAAAGGGGACATTCAGTATAATTGAGTGTCTACGTGTGTATGTTGACCATTTCCACCATAATGATGTATTATTTGTGAAGTAATATGGATGTAATAAACACACATACAAAAGAGATAAAGATCAAAGCATTCATCCGAATGTAGTTCTGATCACGAGGGGGAAATTTGGTGGAATCAACTTGTGCACGTACACTGCAGCTGTTTGTATTTATCGTGTTAGGAGAATTCTGAGTGTTTTTTCTGACTAGTGAGATTTTAAGAAAGTCGCACCTTGACAAGTACCCTTCAGTCTATAGTTGTGCCTTGAGTGGACCTAGGTGACTAGTAAAAATTGAGAACAATTTATACGGCACTAATCTTGGTTGATATTTTGCCGAGTGTAAAGGGCAATGAACTAATAAAAGAAGGTAGTATCAAAACTTATACCCAGGGATTTGTATGTTCCCCATAGTGATAAATCCTATTTTGATGGCCTGTTTAAATTGGAAAAATGCATATACTGTAAAATGACTAGTTTTCGCTGAGTTAGCATTTCAGGGATATTCAATGGGTTTTTATATTCATGGTTTTATCATTTAGATAATGTGTTCTATGCTCAATTTTACATATTCACTGGGTTTTAATTCAGCGCATATCCCAGTCAGTGAAATAAGCAAAATTAAAACCTAGTGAATAATTACTCTTTTACAGTACATGTAACTAAGGTCCATAATTCAAAAGATATTTTTTATATCCAAAAATTTTTTGTTTAGACTTTCAAGTAATAACCAGTCAGAGTGAGACTCATTTTTTTCCAGCAGTGTCACTTTTGTACTGTTTTGTATTTTTCTTATTACAGTATACATTGTATATTCTTTATTTGTTGATTACATCACATGTATAATAAAGCATCCTGATGTGTTGAGTACAAAAACAATTGAGCTATTTAATTTACAAAGCCTGGAATAAAAGTAAATTACCTGATTTGTGAATTTGTGAAAACTGGTGAACATAAATTTTGTTTATGTTATGAATGAACTTGAAAAAATATGATAGGAAAAACGGTTCTCTTTTAACTTTTCCCCAGGGCAAGAAGCAAAACTTTTATTTTGTCAATACAAGATTATGAATGTGCTATATTGATTCATGTTATTAAAAATATCTTGCATAATTTGTATTATAAGCTTTTCATTGCTGAGATCTCTTAGCAACCGTTGATTGATCTAGACTGCTATATTTTCATAGCCAGATATTGTTATGTTTGGACAGCGTAAATTTACTGCAATTAGTAGACCGCAATATTTTTTTCAAAAAGACGACTGATACGTATTTCTTGTCAATCTTTCAATACCAATACTGAGAAAATACATGTAGATGTATGTTAGTTGTCATGGAAACAAGCAATGAAATTGTGTATGTTTGGTAACTTAATACGTCAGTGAAACGTCCATCAGTAACTACTACTAGTTTCCCTTTGTAGAGCAATGTTTTAGAACTAAGGATCGGTCAGTTACAATAATTGGTGAAATGAAATGGTGCTTCAGTGAACTATGTAAATTAGTCATTGTTTGACACACATTGTTCATCTCATGTTTTGGCACTGCAATATAATGGAATTGGGTTTATGAAGTGGCTGCCATTTAATTGAAATAGATGATTTTCATAAATTACATGTATTTATCATGCCCAGAAATGAACTTGAGCTTGAATTACACCTTTAACTCAAATTATGAGCCTAAAGCATAAACCCTCAGCAGGGCATGACATTCATGGAGGTATCAAAGAAGTTTGTCTTGCTGCCCTTCAAAAAATATAGATTTTTCCTATAGTATTTCTATACATACGTACACTAAGATGATTTTTACCCAATTTTGCCTTGAAAATGTGCCCTCCATCTCAACTCTAAAGTTCTGTGTTAGTTTTTATTTTTGATATTGTAGCTGTATTCATTTTAGTTATCAAAGTTGTTTCTATGTATTTCTATATTCAGTATAGTAAAAACAGAATTTCATTTTCAAAAATGGAAAATGAATATTGAAAGCGGTGAGAGTGTTGCATATCCTACCTGCTAAGTATTCAATATCCTGTAAGAGTGATTGGTTTGAACTCACCTGTCAGCATAATGACTCACAGTTCAAATGGAGTGTGTTTACACTGTACAAATAGCTTTTTGTTAACACAGTTTCTTGGCTATTGTGGACTGAATCCCTATAAAGCACAACATACATCCTTTTTTTTCTTCATGTATATCCGTGCTGGACAGTTGCCAGCCTCAAAATTATGTCAAGATTTGGGTGTGTTATTTTTTTGTATCAATACAGGCTGAGTCATTTGCCGATATTAGTCTCACTGACTAGATTGGACATCTGATTTTCGTAGTAATTAACTTAAACCTATGAATGTAAAATTTTCTTGAAAATAGGGTTGACTGCCCTCGCTACTGTATATACATGATGTATCTTTTTTTATTTAGAATGTTGGGATAAACTATTTAAGCATGTTTTTTGTCTTCATAGCAGATAGATGTGTACATTATGAATTTTACGAGTGTTCTTCAGAGTTCATGCAACTACTGTACTGATATATAGCTTTATTATAACTTAATTTATACTTTTATTCTCTGCTATTTTACCTCTGTTTTAAGGCAAACTGATCTATCAATAAATGTGTCTACGTTTGTTTAAGATGTAACCTACAGATTTGTATGCACCACCCACCAGTGCACGGCGTCATTTTCGATTCACCATGACGTAACGTACACAAGCCTGTCAAATGTTTTCTTTTTTTTAACAGTTTCTGACACTTGCTGTATAATAATTGTAGTGCTTTATTTTATATTCAAATTGCTTATTCCTATTACGTAATATAGTCTTCAAATTTGATGCCATTTGTTATTTTTTACAGGTACTTCAGGTGAACGCTATACAGAAATTAGAAGATGATGCCGACTCATTTATGCCAGGTAGGCCAGAGACCAGAGATTTCAAATCTGCCCATATTACTTTTAATTTTTATGATTTCACTCATTATGCCATAGACAAGAAGCCCTTCAAAAGTTGTTTTTCTGAAAGCCTTGTATTTTTTCTTGGGATAAATCATGCAATCCAGGTCAGTTTAAAATATTTTGATTTGAGAAACGAGTTAAGACCAATAAATTGACATCGTCTTAACCATGTTGATTTGCAAGCTCAATGTAAACATACTCCCCCCCCCCCAACAAACCTGTGTGTTATTCTACGAAGAGGCACGTATTTGTTCTAGGTGAAATAGATTAGTCTGATTGGACACACCTGTAAAAATTAGACCCAATGAAACTCCGAGTTGGCACAGCAATAGAAATAAAACAATTTGGCGGGATATCAAATTGCTGAAGAGGGCACACTTGAATACACATTGACTTTAATAACAATGTCTGTTCAGGTATGGTAGTGAAGCCGCTGCTTATCAAGCATACCTGGATGGTAAAAATAATAAAATGATTTGATAATCTCTGGTGTTTATGATTTAACATGCATGTAATCAGTCTCATGGTATTTCAGCAGTGGCCATCTTTGATTTTTGTAAGTGATTTTAAGCCGGTGTGCAAAAGTTCATTGCCCTTGACCTTGCAAAATATAGATTGTTGGTGTATAAATGCACTACAGGTTCATGTGACTAACGATTCGTTTGTTCAGCAAATGTTTTGGAGAAGTAATATTCAATAATTTATATGTGAAATCAATTAGCTTGTCTCTGAGGTGTATTTACATATTTCATCAAGGTGATCTTTGGAACAATTAATGCATGTCCACAATCTAGCCTTGGCCGAGTTTCATGTATGTGTAGTGGTTGCATGCATTTCTAAATGCTGACTATGGTAAATTTCAAAGCAATTCAAAACTTGAATCATTTTGTTAATTTAAATATGAATGGTATCTAATTTCACAATACATACTGTATTGGTAATCCGCTCTGTTAGGATTGCCCTTACAGTGTATAATCACTTTTGTTTGTGTGGTATCTTCACATACTAACTCTTCTGTGATTATTTTAGCTTGGCTGATTTTGTTAATAGTCACACCCTCACTCTTAATAGATGGTAAAATCTGAAAAAATCCTGGCTTATCATTGCTATGACAACAGCCAAAATATTATTTTTGAATACCTTCGTGCCTAAAGTATGTTCTCCTACAAATCTTGGAGTCAAAACCTTGTACATGTATCTCATTCTACTGAGCTGGAGTGTGGGTCTAAAGTCACTAAAGTTTTTTTGTTATCTTTTTTCATTGCCAAGAAAGCAGACCTTGGTGTTTGGGTAACTTTTTCAGTACTGGCTTTTTAACTTCTTTTAACTCTTTTGGGGGGGGGCAAATTTGACAGACACCTTTACTCTAGAAAGGTAGACAATTTAAAAAAGAAATAGTTCTGTCCAACTATTGCGATGACAATGACCAAACGCTTGAATTTTTGTCATAGATTCACACAAAATTTATCCTTGTACGAATCTTTAAGTGTGTGCCTAAAGTTACTATTTTGTTTTTGAGTCTGTTCTATTATTATGGCAATGGCCAGAAAAATGAGTGGAGCAGGTCACAAATCAGCCTACCGGCTTGTTTGCTCTATTCATAGCCCATCTACTTGTATGATAGAGATGAGTCTGTAGTCAAAATAAGTCATAGGGTTGCATATTAAATGATTCGGTATACAACATATACAATGGTATATATTTGTACGTATATTTATCATATCATTAACTTCCATTGTTTTCTTTAAAAAAAAATGTGGCATTGCCATGGAAAAAAGGTCCTGGTGAGGGCATTGATTGACACATACATGATTTAATAAGAAAAAAATAGTCAGCACAAGTCTGCAATATAGTTAAGTTCAATGGAAAAGGCTACGTGTACATGGTTGGACAGAGTTGTCATGACTATCCAGTCGGTGTGTCCGGGGTCCCACTATGTAGGCAAGAGACTATGATAATTGGAATAACAAAAAGTATAAAAAAATTAGAAAAGAGGACAACATTTAAGTAAACTTATTAAAAAAAGAGAATTATGACTGGCTGACGTGACCATAGACAAATTAAGGTCTTTCATTGAAGTCAGTCGTTCTTACCAGTATTTGCCGATGAAGCAAAGGTCAGAAACTGGCTTTTTGCCCTCTGGATATAATACTGTATTCATCTATGGCAACCCAGTTCTTACCAACTTTTCTCGAGTGATATGCAACAGGCATTGTGTTTATTGTTATGCAAATTAGTCTGTGCAAATCAGTCTAAGGGTACTCTGAACTAGTTGGTTTTAGCAACAGGTTGAACAGTTCAGTATTCTTGATTTTTTTTTTAGTTTTACTCAAAAAAAACAACAAAACATTTTGTAGTGAGCATGTTATTAGAATCCCTAAGACAGTGACAACAACAGTAGATGTCCAACAAGGGTATTTAAAAGAAAGATTTCCCAATCTTATAATTCATGCTGTAAAGGCGTAATTCATAAGTCTATATGATTGTCATCTTGACTCAATTTCTAAAGACTGCCATGTTTTCTTTAAACTCCATTGTTTATTGTTAAACATCTATTCAAGTGTTCACTGTATAAAGTTACGCTTTTCTTTTTATTTACACGCAGTTAGAAAATATTCTTGTTTTACATCCACTTAAGTTTATAATTTTGAAATGAACACCATGCTGGTTTAACACCTTTTTTTGTGTTTTGTTTACGGACTCGCTAAATACCCGGTATATAATGTTTCCTAGATAGTCAGATCATGGTTTAGAAGTTGAGGTCGCATACATGTGCATTTGGAATGTGTTTTGTTTTAATTCATATGACTGTCCATAACATTATCTAAACAGAAAAATCAAACCATTTGTTAATTTCCAGTGAGACAGCAAAAAAATTGACGACTATAATAAATTTCAGAGAACTCAAAACTAGTATAAATTGTCATCGCTAGAAATCTTCTCAATGCAATGATGTTAAAGGTGTTTTTGTGATCACAGTTGTTAATTTTTGTGCATACCAACGGTATGCTACATACATCCAACCAAACACTGTTGCTAAGTTAATAGACACATTTTGAAATATCTTGAAGAAATATTGTCGCCTATAAAGCTTGCAGGATTATACGCAATCTTATTAAATACCAATGTTAATATTATTAGTCATTATTTATGATCCAGAAACCATGGCTACAGCTCTTTTCAATAAAATGTTGGGTTACCATAGCTAATTGTCCGTAACGGAATATGTTGGTGCGCTGTGAATACATAACAGTTGTAGTGTTGCAAGTACAGTAGAAACGAGAAGTGACTTCTCAGTTTTAATTTATGCATTGATTACTTGTACTTCGTTAATAGAGCTGCCAAGACGCTCGTAATGATTTTACGTCTTGTTGTATCATGTTATTTTTAGTTTGAGAACCATTCTGTTGTCGTAGGCTGGTGATTGCCATGCAACAAGTAATGAGCTGGTCGCTGTGGAATGTGAAGTAGTGATGTTGGGCTTGCTTCGATAATCTCTGTCGCTGCATTGTTACGTCGCCGCTCTTTTTAGGGTCATCACCAACCTCCATTGTTGTAATGAGTGATAGTGATGACCTTTAGAAAGGTCGCCAGATGTTGCGTTATATGTATATGCTGTAATTTAAAGTAACAATGTGTTTGTCATGTCATCTTGTCTTGGTTTCTTGTCTTGTTTTGTACCTGGATTCTGCTCTTTGGCATTTATCCAGCTGCTGAATATTTATGTCTAGTAGGAAAACAAAATCAGTGTATTCGGCAAACACAAATATGAACCTAATCATCAACAATTGCAAATGTTGAGTGGGATGTCTATAAAAGATACGTTTCATATCACTGTCTGCCATCTGGAAATACTTTCCAAGAATGTTTCTCATTGGCTACACAATTCTAATGCTCATACTAACTAGCTAATCAGAGAATGTGTAAGTTAACTGGGATTGCGGGATTTCATAGTTGTTTCTGTTGTCAAATTTGTCAATAATACAACTCTTGTCCTAGTTTTAACTGTAATTATATATATTATTATCAAGCTATTTCAAACAAATTCAGCAATTTATCGAGCGATTTCAAACAAGTTATCTGTCTGTTTTCAAATGATGACCTCTTTTTCACAATAATTTCAAATCAGTCCTAGCCATTGGTGTTGAAAGTAAAATAATTTTCAAAATCTAAAAGTAATTCACAGTTGGCAACTGGTGAAGAGTGATTAGAAGCCCTGTGAGTGCCTCTACTCATGTAGAAAAACAAAATACAATACACAGATGTTGTTTCATTAGATATATCATCTGAAATGTTTCTCCACATTGTCATCTTTGCAGACTCTGTAAGATCAGAACAAGAGACTCCAACAAACAGTGTACTCCAAGAGAATGACAAAGATAGAGACAGTCCTGCTCCGTCCTTGGCATTGACAGAGGGAGATTATGGTGATGTCGCCAATGTACAGACTCCTAGGTCAACATTACAAAGGTAAGATTAGGACTAGGCTTCTACCTTAATTTGGTGGCTAATTTTCACAATTAGTGTTGATTACTTCAAGTCTCCTAAGAAATATAATTTTTACAGTTAATACATGTAGTAACTCATTCTTATTACTTTTCTGACCAAAACTTGAGTTGCAATGTAACATTGTATCACAGCTAAATGCTTTACTATAGAAAAAGCTTCATCTAATGAATCCTTGGTATTAGGCAGTGTGTGCATACAACCACACAGTAACAGCAGTAATCAAAGTGTAAGCATGCTTAAAACTTTGTCTGTACATTTCAGTGTTATCCGAGGTGTTGGTGAGTTTGATCTAGAGGAGCAAGGAGACTCGAATCCACCTATGCAAGAAGTGAAAACAGTTGATCCCCATGCCTGTCCGTATTTACTACTTGATATAAGAGACCAAGATGCATATGATAACTGTCATCTTATCACAGGTACTTATTACAATCTGTTACGTTTTACATGTACACTGATTTGATTTATTGTAAATCACTTTATTGTCAACACCATATTGTTGTGAACACTATAACAGGGACATTGCCAACTGAGTTGCTAACTGGTTTGCAATGCATGTCCAGAAATCATTACATTATTAGAACACATTAGTTTGAACCATTTTTTCGAGGGTGCATTTACGAGCAATTATGACACACACCATTGACTGTTATGACATTTCAGACGGTGTCAGTACATACATTTTGTTTCTTACATAATTTTGTTCTGTATCTGATTAAATGGAATAAATTAAAAGGGAATTGAACGAAGATTTTCTATTTATATTCAAAGTGTCCCGAGTCCCTCACTAGTACACATACTTTTCTGTTGAGGGTAGCTGGCAATGCTGCTGTTTTGGTGTTTGGAACAATATGGCCTTGATAAGGAGCCACAGTTTTGTATTTTGTTTTATTTGTGTTTTGACACTTCATTCTTGATTTTTTGTTTATGTGTGAGTAACTAATTACAACAATAATTAGCCATTTCAAATTGTTTTCACTTAACTATAATGATATTCTAATTTGGCTGTTATATTTAGAACATTTAAGTTTGTTTTTATAGTCAGCGAAAAATATTAAAATCATCAATGCTCAGTTTATTGTTCCAAAATTACTGTTTTCCTGTTTTGTTTTTTTTACCATTGAAGTCAACGGTGAGAGATTGTACTGTGTATTATATTAATCACAGAATTGATAAATTGTTTATCAAGTGGCCCTGAACCATGTTCAGAACGTAGTGGCATTAGATAGTATACACGTACACTAATCATTTTGTTTTTTTATTTCATTACCAGCTAAGAGTTACCCAGTGGCGATGTTATCTCGTTCTTACAACAATTACACACCCGATATAATTGCATATGTATCCTTTTCAAATCCATCATGTATTGTGGAAGCCGTGAATGTATAATTTAGAGTGATTTGATAATTGTACGGCGTAAAATGGAAAGTGTCCTTTTCATATCCATCATGTATTGTGGAAGCGTTGAATGTAATAATTTATAGTGAACTGATAATTGTACAGCGTAAAACGGGAAGTGTTGCACCTCTAGTGCATAGAGAGGTGTATTGTAAAAGGGTTAATTATTCACTGGGTTTTAATTTTGCTTATTTCGCTGACTGGAAAATGCGTTAAATTAAAACCCAGTGATTATGTAAAATTAGCATAGAACACATTATCTAAATGACAAAACCGTGAATTTAAAACCCACTGAATATATCTGAAATGGTAAACCAGCAAAATTTAGACCCAGTGAAAATTAGTCATTTTACAGTATTTTGTTTCGGTCAGATTTGGACAATTTGTGTTTTGTTATTTGATGTTCCCCTGTTAAAATGTTTTTTACACAAGTGTAAAAGCTACTCACTGATTGGCCTGACTGTCAGGTGTTAGGTTTGGGTAGCCAATCAGACACAACCTTGTAAATAGCTTTGTATTGATTCTGAGTTTGATGTATGTGCTGGTAAATGTGGTAATGGGAATAAGTTTGCTTACATTTAGTTTCATTTTGTGATGGGTGCATGGCATGCTGTGAGAGTGTCAAAGTTGGTGTGTGAATCTAACTTAAGTGTATAATGAACACATGTGCATTCCGAGGACTGTTTCCTGAAACTCATTGCTCTGTATAGTGATCAGAACTGGATACAAATGTACAAACTAGTGTTATTTTTAGAACATCTTGTCTACCTTAACTGACTGCCTACAGAGAAATAAACCTGGTAAGATTATTGTGATATACGATGAAGATGAAAGAATAGGCACTGGAGCAGCAACTACATTTTCTGAACGAGGATTTGACAATTTATTTCTTTTATCCGGAGGTAAGTACCACTAAAAAAAAATATTTGTTTGTGTGCCATTTTTTTTTTCTAGTAAATCTTTACTTTTTGTTGTTGAAATCCAACTGTTGAAAACTTACAAAAATAATATATCAATTCGTATGTCAATTGCAAAGTCTTGAGTTATCACGTGAGATATGAGCAATGAGGGATGTTCTTGTTCCTGTTAGACGGAAAGTAACTGGTAGTCTACCAACTATGTGTTAAAAATAGATTCATTTACCTGGCGTTTCTAAATTAAATCGTTTTGAGTACCAGTTAATCATAAATTCATAATAATAATAATCAGCATGATTAGCAAAGTATTTTAGAGGTGTGTGTGTGTGTGATCATGAAATGATCCAGGATACATGTAATGCAATATGTATGCTTTCATTAGGAGTATGTGAATTAGGAGTCTGTTAACGTCAGATATCATTATTTTGTAGGTTTGAAAGTTGCAGCTGGCAAGTTTCCAGAGGGATTGGTGACTGGTACTATACCGCTGTCATGTAGGCCACCACCACCCCCATCAAGAGGCAGAAAGAAACAACCGCAACAAATAGAACAAATCAAAGCATGCAAGACAGAGTTCAGTAATGATGATATCCTTTTATTAAGTACTGTTAATTACTGTACTCATCAGACCCAATATCCATGCTCAACTAAGCACCCATCAGCACTTTTGGGGCATTTTTATTTTTGGTCTTTGAGCATTGTTAGACTTTACTGAAAACTAGTAAACAAATTTATATAGCATAGTAACCACGCATAAACTATGGTTCAACAATGACCTGTCAACAACTGTGAAACGAGGTAAATCCATTCAATATTCAGTTTACCTTTCAAAAATTTTTAATTATTCTATTTTTTTTTTTTTCAACATTGATAATTTACTTTCAAATTGTGTCACCAGAATGCCGTTGGAAATTCCTAGAGAATTGCATCAGTGAAACACTGGATTCTGGTTGCGTGTTAACAGACTTGACCTATCTGATCAATGGGCGATGTTGCAGGTCAAATTATGCAAGAAAACAACATGACGAAATTGATTTGCATCAAGAGTTTGCATACAATTGAAAACATTCTACATTTCCCACAGACCCGAATAATTTTACACTGGGCCAGCATCTCTTCTCCTCAATGCGTCTCTGTCTTGAGCTGCTACTTCTGCCTCTGCCCAACTCTTGTATCCATTTTTTGCCCTCTGGTGCCCATGTCAAAGCGATTCTTGGTATGTTATTCCTTTCCATGTGTAACACATGCCCAATCCACTTTCATGGCTTGTTTTTTACAATTTCACTTATTGTATGAAAGTTTGCGCATTGTCTGATTTCTTCATTTGTGATCCTCATTGGCCAGTATGTTTTCAACCATAAATTATGATGGTATGTAAATAATATTATAATAAAACGTTCCTAACCTGAACAAAAATTTTCCTTTGGAGTGGGGTGCTTGACTAAGTGCCAACCTTCTAATAAACATGATTTTGTGAGGTGAGTACCCTGGGTGTTAAGTCGGACGAGTATGGTAAAAAAGGCGCATGTTCAAATTTCATGTAAACAAACAATGTATCTTACATCTCCTGTATACATGACGACCACTGCCCTTTAATTATTAGGTCCACTTGACCCAGATGTGCTAATATAAAGGTCAGATCAACCCAGCAATTTTGATGTCATTTCGACATGATCCTAACAAAGCGTATAGTATGACTTTCTGTCCAGCATCATCTTTTAATATCCTCATGAAAAGTACTATTTACTATAGATTGTTTTCATATTATGAGGTTATTACGAAGATACCTCAAAGTATGCACGAAGACAGTACAGCGGCAGTATCGACCGA